ATATATATATATATATTTAAAATGCTCTAATAATTATTGATTGCATGCATACCAAATACATTTCACGCCAAGACTCCATTTCCATACGCTTTTTGGTACGGTAATTTCTTTGCACATGGATTTGCCATAGGCAATCGCTGTCTTCCATCATGTACGGATTGTATTCTTCAAATGTTAGTAATTGTGGTGGTGTAGCACGCTCCAAAACAGGACGAAGGACTTCGAAGGGTACACCGCCAGTATATTCCAAAGCTGTAAATGAAGCTTAGTATAAATTTTGATAAACGGTACAATATCAATAAAGCCGCACCATCGATATTCTTTTGCAGTATTCGTATGCATAGATCGAATAGTGATGGCACTTGCAACACTTGTCCAGTTTTAATACCGGAGTAGATTTTGGTACTAAAATTAAATTAAATGAACTATAATTTAGTCTTAAAATCAACAAATGAAGTACACTTGCGATCTCTTACCGCATTGTCTTCGAAGAGATGCTGTGACTTAGCGCTTCTGCATCGGTGAGTGTCCTCACAGGCTTGGGAGTGTTAACCACAGCTCCGCTATTACGGTAAACGCAGTCCATTACGGTCTTATTGTGTGGTAGCGGTTTGTAATTCGTTGAAATCGTTGGCAGCTCAAACACAATACTGGGATCAAGTGGCGCTAATTTCGCAGAAGCTGACAGAAGCTCTGGTTTCTGTAAAGTTTTAGAAACAACATACATATATTTGAACTGTTGTAAAGCGATTTTTTCCTTACTTCGTCTACTGGTTTTGCGGAAGTTGAAGCTGAGGACATCGAGCTTGGTCTGTATTCGTTTTTAGAGTTACTGTTGGAGCTACTGCTATGTGGCTTTTCATTCAAGGGAATCTTGCTGGGTGTAGGCGACTTGCTATTGTTAAGCAATTTTTTCGACTTCTTTGTTGGCATATTTAGCATGCCCAAAACATCAGCAAAATTCGCGCCCATAGAAGAATCGATACCTTCGTCCGCACCCACTTCTTCCTCATTGTCATTTGTTTTTGATTTAAGCTTAATTGATTTTGGTGTTTTCGACACTTTGGCTTTCGTTGGAGACCCATCATTTGAATCACTATCGTGTGGGCGTTTCCTGCTGCTATGACCGCTATCTGCCTTCGTATGTGCTGTCGACGAAGACGGTCGTTCGATTGCTGATGTTGAAGGCTTACTGCCGCTGGTGGACGAATGTGATGTGGAAGATTTGTGATGCTTGTCGCGATGCGAACTATCATTTGGAGACGACTTAGTTTTGTCATGCTTGCTCTTGAATGAATAATGTTATTCAATTACAGCAATTATTATATTGTTGAGATTTTGAGTTTTTAACATTGATAAATAAGCTTTAAGACCCTAATAAAAAGATACGCATACTTCAACGAGGTAAGCCGCATGGCAGATAAGACACTTCAGATAATCAGAAAAAATGTGAATTGTTAGTCAAACGTCTACAACATTTAAACAATATCCTTCTCTTGTGAAATTATTTTATTGATTGCTTATTAGAAAAAATATACACTGGCGCTCACGTGAATAGCGCACATTTTATTTTTCGCAATATTCACAATGTTTTACTTGATACGTAATCCTTTTCTGGTAAATTTTTTATAAAAAATATAGTAGTTTCTATAAAATAAACCAAATAAGTCACCTTTGTACACAATTCAGGAAAACTTTACAAATGTCAAAAAAATTTCATAAAAATGTTCAACTTTTTATTCCGAACTTTTCGAAATTTATTGGGTATGTAGTTTTGTAGCCTATTCAATTTTAGTATACTAATGTTCAGGTTTTAAAATACTTCTTCCATCTAACGCAATAGCAAAACCTATTTTTATTGTGTACAAAGTTTTAAACGGAATTGTTAGGATTATTATCCTAAAATTGAAAAAAAAAGTTTCTAAAAATTCGAAAAAAGAATTGAAAATTTATGCAATTTTTTTTTTATTTGTTAAATTTTTCAGAAATATGGAACTTTCACTTACAAGGTTTATAATATAGAATTTACTATATTTTTTAAAATATTAACGAAGAAATGTATCAGTGAGCGCCACTGTATTTTTTATTCTCAAACCATCAAGATTTTAGTGTTTCACAAAATTCTACGTACATACAATTTTATGAGAAAAAATATATAAAAAACATCGACATAAGACGATTGATAGAGTTCCACATTCCAAGTGCTTTATTATTATATTTTTTTGTGCGTCTCGTTAAAGAAATCTCTTTCTAACGTGTCCAAATTAAATTGCCCATAGTGTGAAATTCCGGTTTTTACATAAATAAATAAATAAGAGCGCAAAATTCTAAAATCACTTATGGATCCATCCCTATCTTCATTCGAAGTGGATTGAATAACAGCAACTTTAAGAACACCATCTAAACTTATTTTTGCTGAACGAAATATTTATTTATTTTTTTTATTAATTAAATTTTTGAGTCTGTCTGTGTTTCGCTATCTAAATGTTTAACTTTCCTTTTGTCATCTGTGTAGATCTTTGCTACATATGTATAATGTGATATATATTTTATTCTTATTTTTGTTTTAAGTAATCTGTATTTATTTTTAACCGACTTCACAAAAAGGAGAAAGTTATCAGTTCGTGTTTTTTATATATGTTACCGAATAACTTTGGACCACGTTGACCGATTTCAATAATTCTTTTTTTAAAGGAAAGGTGTTACCATACAAGTCCCATACTGATTTGGTTTAAATCCGATCATAGGATCATGAAGAAATTAACGATAGTTTTAAATTTTTATATAAAATAAATTTAAGTCGGTTTTGTTTTTTTTTTGCTTAAAAATGATTTGTATTTTTACTAGTATGTTTAATCTCTGTTTTGAACTATAAAAGATCTGTGATCTTATTGTACTAATGCTTTTTCTATTAATAAATGAAATGAAATAAAAATGAAAAAACTAACTCGTACAATATCGTTTATTTATGAAAAAAATTAATCATAAAATTTATGATCAGGTTTTTTTTTTAATTTCCAGGTAGTTAAAAGATATATTACCGGCCAAACCCGATCTTAGGACAAACTAGTTATGTCTTAATTAGACCTTCATCGTTTCAAAAAAATAACCCTCATCAGTCCAACTCCATCTGCGCAGTCCACAATGTTGTTGCGTCCAACTTATTTCCGCCTTGGACGGATGTATAGGATCAAAGAACAACCAGCTTAGCCAGGTAATATCGGGTTTGGCCGGTAACAGATATAAAAAATGGCTTTCTATTTAATATAAAGGCAATAATTCAATTACAAAAAAAAACGCACGATTAACTGATACATACTTAAAATTGTGCACATCAGCACATCACCATTGATATACATGTGATGGGTTTAGAGTTGGAAGGGGATACGATAATGGAGGATAGGAGCGTGGATGTTCTCTCTGCGGTAAAGTACTTGAAACTAGGTATGAAATTTGTAGTACTGTATTCCTGTAAAATGTTTACCCTTCTATTTTTGCGGTTTTTCTATGAGAAATCACCCACCATAAAATTATACGTGTATCTAATACGCAATAACAGCAATACTAGCCACTTACCTCTTTTGATCGTTCATTCTTATCCTTTTCCCTTGATGATCCTTGTTTTTCTTTGTCCTCCTTCTTGTTTTTCCTTGTCTTTTCTGACGCGTGATTTAGTTGTTGTTTTGACGAACTCGTATACTCATTTTGATTTTCACCCCTGGCACTGTCTTTCTTTTCCTTGGAATCGGCACCACTTTTATGATGCGACATTTCGGGAGAGGTAGTTTTTACATCCCTGCTTGAGCTTTGTTTCTCACTTCGCTCGCGACTTCGTTCTGACTTCTCTTTTGACGATTTATGTTTATCATTTTCCAAATTCTTTACCTCGTTATCACGTTCACTATGTTTGGATTTTTTCTCAGAATAAATTTCTTTTTCCTCTTGCTCAATGCGTCTTTTTTGTTTCGATGACGATTGCTCATACGAACTTTTATTTGACTTATCTTCGTTATGAGACTTAGATCTATAGTCAGAACTACTTTTATTTTTATGCATTGATTGCTCCTCTTTAGATGTATTTTGACTTAATGTATTTTTTTGATGTTGTTCTTGGGATGTACCTTTGCCTTGAGTATGGTTTTGATTATAGGGATCATCATCACTTGACCCGTGCCCATTGGCATTGTTCCCGTCATCGTCATCGTCACCTTGACAGTTATTAGCTTCGGGTGGTTCTTCTTCCGCTGCAACCATGGCCTTCCACTTGGTGACCAAAGCCTTTGCAGCAACACCGATTTCTCCATTATATTTTCGCAACGAATTCACAGTTTTACCAACGCCAGTCTCTTGTAAATGCTCCACCCTTACAGGCAGTCTATACAGCTTGTTAATACAATGCAAAAGCTAGAATGTGAGATTATTTTGATCAATTATTAATCAAATAATCTTAAAAATTATTCGCAGACTAAACAAGATAATAAAAAAAGTTAAATTCATACATATACATATGTACATACATACAGATGCTTGCAGGTAGGAAGTTTTTTATATCCATGTTGACTTGGAATTTTGACTCCTCTAAGAGTAACTCAATACATACCCTTTAAACCAATATAAAGTATATAATGAAAATGGTGGACTATGTATTCACGAGAAAAGCCATGCATAAGTATGGACATACATATGTGCATATACATATACATATGTGAGTGTGTACATATGTACGTATGTATGCGACTTAATTTTTTCAGGTAATATCTGAAGGTTTACCACCTGCCGTTGTGCTTAGCTAGTACATATGTACATACATATACGAATATATGTTGCAAAAATAAAATATTATTTCTTTCTTTGTAAAGCTATGCAACTCTAAAACAGACTATATATAATATGCTTAACTAAATTGGTAAAGACACGATGTTTAAATGTTTAGCCAACTTCAATAATATAAGGTGCTTTTNTTCTAAAACAGACTATATATAATATGCTTAACTAAATTGGTAGACACGATGTTTAAATGTTTAGCCAACTTCAATAATATAAGGTGCTTTTCGACCTTGATTTACTTTAAAGTGATATTATGCATTTTATATTTCATATCGCACACATTATACATATATATGTACATATTTACATACATAAATATGTAAGTACGATGATTTTTGTGTGAATTCGGGGAAACTTTTTGCACTTTATGACTTTATTTATATGTACATACATATTAACAAACATGCAGTTCTTAAATTTTATTTTATTTCAATATGCTATTAATAAATTTTAAAGTTTTTTGTAATATTCAATATCTACTTACTCTGCCTTCATCGTCCTGGGAATGCTCGATACTCCGTTGGTAATGTTGAATTACACTTAATATTGATGCAGAAGACATTTTTCTACCTCCTTGTTTCCACAATGATCTTTTTTTGGTAATAATTTTTTGAGCCTTCTGGGCAAGTGTGGAGTTCCGCCTCTTCAGGTCGAACGAAAAATTTTTTCCTACAGAAAATTACGTTTCACAATTCAGCTGCGTCAGCACCAAACCAGAAAAGCGCACACTACTGGGATTACACATTTTAAAAAGTCCTATTCGCTTTTACAATTTATTATGTTAAGTAATTACAAATACATCTTTTACCATAATTAAAATTCTATTTTTTCACAAGCTGCCAACCAGCGTATCACAATTTTCTTTTTCCCAATGCCAAAAAAGAAATTAAGAAATTTCATCTGACATTCATTGCCGTACAAGAAGAACGTTCAGTGAATTCGAATCTCGCAGGGTTGTATTGCTTCAGTAGCAAGGGAACAAATAGTAATATGCAACATAAACCAAAAATACAAGATCACGCAAGAACGCGACCTTGTACATGTAATTAGTTTTAGCAAAAAAGTTTGCCGTTGCGGATTCGTTAGCTGATCATTTGCTTACACCGCAAGCGCCACTATTTTACACGTTTCTTTAACTAATGAAGGGTTCATTCAACATGACAACACGTTTTAAAGCGTTTTAATATTGGATAATTTTACTTAAGTTGTGTGTGTCTATTTTCCTAGATTTTTTACTTTTCTTTCATTTTCCAGCGAAACAGGATCGACCCTTTTCCCTCTTGTACGTGCGTGATTATGTGTCTTTTACTACTTTTTAGTTGTGTTTAATGAGACCGAAAAAAGTGCAGGGCAGGTCAAATTAGGGCAGAGTCGAGCAGCTGTCAAAAAAAACAATAGAGGAACTGAGAGCAACTCAGATCAGAATTCTCAGAATTCAGGCAGAAATTCTCAAAACAGTTGCTTGCTCTAAGTTACTCCATCAAAAAAGCTGGTTCAGAAAATCGTGCTCTAAGTTGCTCTAGTTTCACTTAGCGCAGGCTAATGAAACAAAAAGAGTAAGTTAGAGCAAGAAAAATCCTAATGAAACACAATTTTGTGAGATATCTTAATCTGGCGTAACCTAGAGCAGCTCATTAAACAAAACTTTTATTGAACCACTAAAGGCCCGGCCAGATTGAAAATCTTTTTTGCATCACAGGGATGCTTTTGACTGACAAAACGCATAGAAGATGGCGAGACGGCACCATTAAAACGTTGTCACAAACAAACTGGTTTGAATTTGTTGCATACATTTTTGTTGTCGTTGTTTTCCCACGTGTGCATACGTTAAAAGTTGAGAGTTGGGCGAATTTTATCAGTTGCGGCAATGCATACATTGCCAATGTGGCGTCTTCTATTTAAAATCACAGAGATAACTTGGATGCCAGTCAAAAGCACCCCTGCGGCGCAGATACTAATTTCTATCACTTCGGGCCTGTGCCAATCGGTAACTTTTTTCTTCGTGGTGAGACGGGGTGGAAAAATTTGCTATGGTGTACAAATAAATTGAATTTTGCTGTGCCAAATGCAGAGTAAAATTTTGACAGTTGAAAAACCAAACAAACGCTCGTGCGAAAGCTTTATTTTTGTGTGTTACTGAGATTCTTAAAATTTATATTTATTTTATAATTTGCAAGTAACGTACGCTTTTTTTATGCTGTTTCAGCTTTCATTTCCATGTTCACTCCTCATTACCGCCAAGCAATATTATGTGTATACATGGTTATAAGCTGTCAAAATTTTACCTAGCCCCATGAGCTAGGTAAAATTTTGACGTTCGTATTCACCACGAGAAGTGTCAAATTTTTACTTTGATCCGTCAAAATTTTCTATTTTGGGCCTGTGCCAATTGATAGAAAAGTTCTATGGTGGAAAAACTTTTTACTATGGTGAGAAAATTTTACATTTCTGCTGTGCCAATTCGTAACTTTTTACTGCTGGAAATTTTTGACAGTTGCTTTGATGCACAAGAAGACTATCGAGTTTGCAATTTATAAAATGCAGCAATTATATAGAAAATATTTGCCTTTGATGATTTCAATTCTTCTGGAACTGAAATCCATGCATTTATTAGACCTTTTAGCAGTAATATTAGAAATAAAAACACGTCAAAGCCGTCTGGTAAGTGTGTTCACAAAAATGTTTAAAACCGTGTACAATTGTTTCCAATAAAAACATATGTCGTTTTAGGGTATTATGTACATGCAACAAGACGTTTATTCCAAAATACTAAGCAGCATTATGAACGGCGATAACAAGACTACAAAAATGCATCTTATGCAGCGTTTTTGCTGCATTTAAAATGCAACATTTAGCACTTTCGAACATATGTTTTCGAAGAGCGTTCATGCTATAGCATTTAGCAAATGTACATTTACGCGAGTTCGAAATCGTATGCTTTTGAGAAACAGCCGTGTTCCAGTCTCTTATTTAGATGCGTATATATTACGATCAATTCTCACGCAGAAGATAATGTGCAAAAACCCTACTGAAAAGGAAAAAATAAATTTCAAACCAAAAATTCACTACAAAAACTTGAATTGTTTTAACCATAACCGAACATTTGTTTGTGTATATATTCATTTGTCGGCGCTGTCAATTAAAATTTCCTCGCTTAATTAGGATACAAACCAAACAGAGTTGATCACAAATTGATCCAGATTTCTATCAGCATCAAATCGATGTTGAATTTGCTTAACTTTTCTTTATCCAAATATGTAATGCAAAATAAAAGAAATCTCGATCGGCGATCACTGAAACGCAGATAGCAACTGTATACTCGAAAAAGCAATGTTGCCACTTTTTCTCTTTAAACCATGTTCGAATCGTGGAAATTTTGGAAGATCACAGGGTTGCTTTTAGCATTTAGATTCTTAATGCAAAAATTTAGTTGCATTTAGGTGACGAATTTTGTATGGATAAATGTACATTTAGAGTAGCATTTAGAGCTAAATGCGCTAAATGTGCTTTTACGCGTAAGCAAAAACAGCCTATTAGCAAAAACAGCCTATTAAAGGTTGTCCTCGGCTTTTCCTTTTCTTTTTTTTTTTTTCTTCCTTTCTTTTATTTCCACTCGCTTTTGTTTTCTTTAATTTATGTGTATACGTGCGTTGTTCGTTCTTCTTCTTGATAATGCTTGCTGTCAAATTTTTCACTAGCCCTGCCGTATCAAACATTTTTATTCACCTCATAGCTGTCAAAAATTTACTATCCAGAGAACTTTTCTATCAATTGGCACAGGCATTTCGATGAAATTGTGTTTTTCAGATTGTTTGCGAATAGGAACTTACTTAAAGAACACTTTTATAAGCATTGATTGTTAAATATAAAGTAAAAAAAAAATGGTAATTCATTTGTTTATGCAGAAAAGATGATATAATAATATAAAGGAAGGTGATTAGTGCAGTGTTTATATGGAAAAGTGAAGTAATGGGAAATTTTAACAACAAATAACTTTAAAACTTCCTCAACACCCCTCCGCATTTTATTNATAAAAAAAAAAGGTAATTCATTTGTTTATGCAGAAAAGATGATATAATAATATAAAGGAAGGTGATTAGTGCAGTGTTTATATGGAAAAGTGAAGTTATGGGAAATTTTAACAACAAATAACTTTAAAACTTCCTCAACACCCCTCCGCATTTTATTAAAAACTTCGCTATACTTTGATTGAGATAGGAAATGGTCCATTATTGGAAAACTCAGCCATCTATATTTACTTGATCTTAANGTAAAAAAAAAATGGTAATTCATTTGTTTATGCAGAAAAGATGATATAATAATATAAAGGAAGGTGATTAGTGCAGTGTTTATATGGAAAAGTGAAGTAATGGGAAATTTTAACAACAAATAACTTTAAAACTTCCTCAACACCCCTCCGCATTTTATTAAAAACTTCGCTATACTTTGATTGAGATAGGAAATGGTCCATTATTGGAAAACTCAGCCATCTATATTTACTTGATCTTAATTACAGGTAGATAAAACAAATATGTGTATATTATTTGTTACTGGAGACTTACATATTCAAAAAATTGCTTTCCATTTTCATACACTCATATTTTTATACCAAGCCACTCACACTTTTGCAAAATGCCTACCAGTTCAAAGCCATTTTTCTTTCAGAAGGCAATTTTTCGTTCAATTTTAATACCTCATCCACCTCATTATATCTCACTTACAATGTTTAGCTGTTTGAAAATAAAACTGCTTGTCACAGCTATACGTTTTTAATATCTGACAACTAATACATTCGTGCGGTCAAGTTGAAAGCAATTTATTGCACGTGTAAGCAGGGTAATGCAATTTTTTCTTTATCTCTCTATTACATTCGGTTCTTTGCGTCGTCACGCAAGCGAGATTTTCCAGCACGTGAAGAAGGCCGGTTACAGTCCGGACCGGATCCGGTCATGAACGAAAGACACAAGATCACGTAAGAACAAGAGAGTGGAAAAAGTCGTTTTTTAGCGGGTTCTACGCCATCTTGTTTCACTGGAAAACGAGCGAAAAGTAACAAAGCAAAGAAAACAAGGAAAACCAAAATTAGCAAAAATTATTGTTAGTCATAGAGAATAAGCGAAAAGTTTGTTCTTAAAAATGGAACATAATCCAGAAGTACGGGAACGCAAAAACCCACATTTNAAAAATTATTGTTAGTCATAGAGAATAAGCGAAAAGTTTGTTATTAAAAATGGAACATAATCCAGAAGTACGGGAACGCAAAAACCCACATTTCGTGCCCAGCATTTGAGAAAAAGCTGATTTGCGTTGTTGTCACTTAAATGCAAACTCTTGGAAATTGAATTTTCGCTTCACAAATTTTTATTTTAAGTATATAAACATTGAAAATGCATCAACAGGCCATTTACTATTCCTTAAAAGCACCAAGTCAATGCAGGTAACATGTAAACACAAAACAGCTGATATGCAGTTTGACACTTTATCCACTTTCACCCGGAGAAAAAGGCTGTTTCGGGCAGGAAGAAAAAGACACTTACGATCCAATACGTTCCAATTTTCGCTCTCTATTACCAATTTTTTTGAGTACGAGAATGTATTCTGGTATATTTTGGGCACCCGCGGGATCCCGCGTTGCGTATGGGAAAGAACCTATTGAGACTCCGTAAGACTGCGTTTATACACGAAAACTTTTGTCACCTCGATTTTTCACATTCCCTTTTGGTGTTGCTCGTTTCATTTACACACGGCGATTTGTGTGTATGCAATTGTTGTTGTCAGCTGTGAACAGCGGTTCAATTTACACAGACGAACTAGAGCACAAAGCGTGTTGCCCGAGCACGAGCAACTCGATGCCCCTCTCCTTTCCACGTCGCGCTCTCTCCTACAAACGTCGAGTTGCGGCAACAAAAATCGCCGTGTGTAAATGAGCACTTATCGTGAAAGTTATCGATTTTATCGTTTCAAATTATGGTTCTTACCCAACAAACACCAAAAAAAAGGTTTGTATAGTAACCTCCAGTAAAACATTCCAGCGAGAGCGCCAAAGCAAAATAGAGCGTAAAATTGAGAAAAGAAAACTAGCAGAAAAAGTTATTGAACATAAAACTAGTAAAAAGTTGCAAGTGAATTGTTGTTGCACCATTTTGATATTCTGCTGTTAACATTTTACTATTTATAAATCAGTTTAAACTCTTTACTTTAAACATAAGTACTTGCACTGTCCAGCACATCATTAATATTTTGATTTCCACTCATTTTACTTATGTTTGTGCTAAACCAATTCAGCAAATAGCGGCTTATGACATTTATTCTTCTTCTTCTGCTAGCTAATTTCTGCTAGTAAAAATTTCTCTATCAAGAATTTGTAACTCTCCCGTGTTGTTACGCTCTCGATTCAGTGCTCTCTTGCAAATTTTTTGGTTTATCATACACTTTTCCAGTAAAAATTTGCAGGTTCCAGTACAAATTAGTACTGACTATTGGTTACTTTGCAAACTTAATATTTATCCAACCCGGATGGAGAGCTTCATAGTTATCAAGTTGATATCCAACATCATTCTCCAATTCATCTCTAACCGATTCGCATATACGTAAAAAGTTATAGAGAAATGTATTTTTTGCAAAATGAAGAAAATTTCCAACAACAAGTAAATAATCATCAAAGTATCTTCAAGTAATCTTGAGATAGTCTTTATAGAAAATAAAACCCGAAGTGAATCAATTACCAGAATTTCTGTCGCACTGTATACTGTAAAGTGAATTATTGTAATACGATATTGATTAATTACATATTACAAAAGGAATAATATAAAAAAAAAATAATCAGCCCTATCACGAGTTTAATTTTCCTACTAGCACTACTAGCAATTTCTCAACTTGAGAAACGGTCCTATTTTCATACAAAGAAAAATGCCCTTTGAGGAACTGTTGAGGAACACCGTTGTAACCTCAAGTTGAGTTCAAACATAAACGTTTGTTGGGTGGGCTCTACTCATACCAAATATTTACTGCTAGATTTTTTCCACTGCACTAGCGCAGTTGTCAAATTGGCGCCTTATAAAATTAATGCATTTGTATTAAATCTTTTGGAGTGTTCAAAGTTATTCAGAAATAATATTAAATAATACGTTCCAAGTTATGTCGGAGGAATATGATGTGTTTGCTAATTTGTACGATAACGACAAAGGTTACTAATTGATTTTGAAATGATTCTGGATATCCATGTTTGAAATTATCGACTGGATTTTATTGCAGATGATAAGGCCAAATTTTTAGAGACGCTTGAATCTCGTAAGACTGATTTGCTAAATAATGGTAGCTCTGACGATGAAGATTTGCTACCACCAAGTTTACAGAGCAAGGGAAAAGGACGTAGTAAAAAAACGAAGCCAGATGCAAAGAAGGAAGATACGCTTCCGAAAGCGGTTTCACCTCCAAAGAAGGCAAAAGACTCGCATGAACAGACGGATGAAAATTCACTGCAGCAAGCAGGTAGGGAACAAGCAACACATATAGATGACCTTCCCTCGGCTAGTCGCAGACGTACACGCAGTAGCGCAGCGGGGACATCTCAAGTAACACCAAGCTCTATTTCAACGGAAAATGATGCCTCGACTAGAGGGAGAAGAGGACGCCGCGGTGCAAACAGAGGGGCTATGAATAGATCAGCAGTTGAAAATGCTATGACTATGTCACTTGCAGACTCTCTTGGTGTATTTGCTGCTATGATGAGCGGGCGGGTGAGTGGTGCTTGTGGATTACTTTCATAAATACGCTTTATAATTGCTATCATTGGCAGGCAAGACGCAACGTAATGCGTGCTCAACGCGCATATTTCGCTGAAATCGCTGCTCGCTCAACTAACGTCGACTATGTCGATTTGGTATCGAGTCCACTGCCCCGTATCGAGGGTGTTGTAAGCAAGATCTTAACCACTTAGAAATTATAATCATGCATAACAAGAAGTAAATTTTATCACAACAGGTAACTGTCGACTCTGATGAGGAAGAGAGCAAATCCAGTAATAGTATTGAAATCACTGGGATAGAAACACCAAATACATCCATTGCTACCACATTGGAATGTTCTTTCGATGAAGATAATCCAGAGACATCAGTAAAGATTAAATGGGATGGCGGAAACCCCGAAATATTTCAGCTTCGTAAACATCAAAAGTTTCAGAGTATATTTACTGAAATTGCTAACCGTGAAAATACTCCGATTGATAACATAATTTTTAATATTGATAACCGTATTATTTCGCCCAGTGATACACCTGCCAGTATTAACTATAAGGTTTACGAATTCATTAGTAAGTACATGACAATGAAATGTGATTAATTGACTATTTTTCTTGTGTTCTTAATAAGCATTAAATTAATATTTTGTAAGACTATGACTAATCTAACAAAAACCATATCTATCCAAATTCCAAACTTGTACAAAAATTCCAAAAATTTTCGGCAAAATTACAAACTTTTTATTCAGTATTTTTACAAACATAGGTATGTAGTTTTATAGCCGATTACAATAAAGTGCAGGTTTCAAGTTACAAAATATTGTGAATTTTCGGGAATTTTCTTCCGTACAAAGTATGCTCGAAAATTTTTTATGTGGAAGAAAATGCCTAGCACCGACACCAAAGAAATAAAATTATAGTTTAAAAACTAAAACCTCGCTATTAAAATTTCCATTCGTACTGTCATCAGGTTACTATAAGAATGGACGTTTAAAGCGATTCCCATTCGTACTGTCATCAAGTATGTAACTTGAGAATGGAAATCGCTGCCTCTTTTAGGCGCATCAATATTACATAGTTACATCCCGAGCTAATAAAAGCGAGTTAAAAAGCCAAAAATCAACGCGATTTTTTACCAACTTCAAACTTACACTGTATTCAGGCAAATTCTGCAATCCACTTCCAAGTGAATTTCAAGCATTCAATTTTAATGACGTTGAAGCTCACTAGGAAGTGAATTGCAGAACAAACAAGAGCATAAGAATATCGTACTCCTATTACTTTGTGGAAGACTGTTAATCTGATATTTTCTCCCTTAACAGGTGGTCGTGTTCTGACAGACTTATTTGATGTTGGCACAGTGCGAAAGAAACGTGATGCTAATATAATAACGCTGAAAATTCAATCAGATTTATGGCCAAAGAAACCTTTAAAAGTTGAGCTCAACAAAACGGATAAATTAAAAATTTTATATATTAAATGTGCTGAAGAGTTAAAAATGCCGGCAGAGGACCTCGTATTGAGGTATTTAAAAATATTTAATAAATGCAGCCCAATTACATGACTTTAACATATGCACTTTGTATTTAGTTTCAATGGCGATCACTTAGGTTTTAATGAAACACCAGAAGACTTCGAATTCGAAGGAGATGAAGCCATCGATTTACGTGTTAAGAAGAAATAAATGGCTTTTCTATTAAAATAAAACATAACGCTAATACGACATTGTTACTCTTAAATTTTATATGTACTAAAAATTTGTTTCTTTGTATCTGTATCAGGGACGTGAACCGGATGAAAAATTTGGTCGGTTCGGTTCAGCGGTTCGAACCGTTGTTGCACTTTTCGATTGGTTCGTCAAAGCGGTTTTTTTGGTATTTGAACCGGGGTTTCGGTTAGGTTCAACGGTTCGAAAAATAAAAAAATTACGCGCAAATTTAAGTGTTAATTGTCAAGTGCAACAACGCGCAAGGTTAAGGGTCAAGTGAGATGGGCTGCCTTTACATTTGATATTGTCACATGGTAAAAAAACATGGCAGGTATTACCATGTTTAACAAAAAGAAAAAAAGTGGGTACATTTATATATTGAAAATTGGTTGAAACGAACCTTTAAAGAAAGTGGTTCGGTTTTCGGTTCGGACTTAACATTTGTGGAAAATTTCGGTTCGGTTAATGGTTCAGTTAATTAATAGAAAAAAGCGGTTTTCCGGTTCAAAACCGGTTCACGTCCCTGATCTGTATACTGTTTCTTATGTTAAACGATTTTTTTAGACTTTGAAAGTAGCATTGTAAAAACGTTGAAACAGAAGGGTAACATACATACATTTTCGTTTAATTTATTATTTTGTTGAGCCCTTTGCATATAAAGACTGTTCTATGTACATCTATTTGGATAGCTGACGTTCAACTGAAATTTATTGCATTTAAGAGGAGCGCTGCGGCAGAATTTCCTTTATTTCTTTAAATCATTGCATCAAATATATATATTTTTTTGTTATTTCTATTATGTTTTTAACAATTCCGAATTGCATTTGTTTATGATAAATAAGTATTTAGTTTACATAAAATTACAATTTTGCATTTGAAAAGAAAATTGTATTTTTAAAAGTGAAAGAAAAAGTAGTGACTGGAATACACACTTGTGTCTTCAAATCATGGTACAATAATTATTGTACCATGTCTTCAAATAATATTTATTCACGCTCTCGGCTTTCTGGCGTTGGAAAACTTTATACAGTTCAGAATTTGTAAATTCCTGAGCATATTTTACTGCCATGATAAATCAAGCAGCAAGTGAGAGCACAACCGAAGAGGGGTGGAAAAAAAGAAGAGCGCTAGCCAAGAGAGATTGCAAGGACTACAAGCTCAAACACTAACATCACCACATTTACCATCCCCTGCAATTCTCGCTTCTCCGTACTTCACAATAGCAAAGTGCTTTTACTCATGCATTTAACCTTTCGAGAGAAAATACGAAGAAGACCAAAGTCTTAAAACTTTGCAGATTTTATGTCAGCGCAATTCGCGCACATAAGCTTCGCGTTTGTTTCGTTGCGTTCAGAAAGAGCAAGTCCTTTGTGGCAAATGGCTGTGTTCTATGTTTTGTTCATGCATAAATCTAGAAGCAAATAATCAGCAAGCGCAAAAAATCAAGTTTTTTTGTTTGTAAATTTAGAATTACGCTTTAAATGCAATACAGTGGCAAATACAAATGTATTCATTTTTCATTGTGTTTTATGCTAATCGAAATTATGTAAAAAAATAGAAATAAATGTTTAAATAAAAAGTACATAATAAAATATAAGTTATTTGTTAGTGGATAAAATCAAAGGTGTTTACTTGCGATTATTAAATGGCAAATTGGGTGTGTTGTGAATGTGGCAAAGACGTAATATGTATGTACAACGCCTATTAAAGTGTTGAAACTTTATTAGAACATATTGGCGTGCAATTTTGTGTAACTTTTCTTTTATGTAAATAAACTGCAGGGAAAAAGTGCAACCACATATCTATGTACATATTTTGAAAATGTGATTAAAAAAAATCGTGAAAACCTGCATATTAAAGGTGATATTTAAAGCCATAGAAACGTTAAGGTAAATATGTACGCTTTATACTTTTATTTAGATTAAATCTATGTGTACTTATGTACATGTATACATATGTAGGCGCGTTATAGTTATTGATTGATTTCTTATTAGTACTTAAACTAGTTGACGATGCGAGATTTAAAAATTCACATACAGTAGTGTGTGTGGTAGTGGATTCGTTTTTATGTTTGGCGCAGGATGCATTTACATTGAGTATTTATAANTGTACTTAAACTAGTTGACGACGCGAGATTTAAAAATTCACATACAGTAGTGTGTGGTAGTAGATTCGTTTTTATGTTTGGCGCAGGATGCATTTACATTGAGTATTTATAAATAGCGTATACAATTACATAGGTAAAATATACTTAGGTATGTGCACGTGTATACCCAGCCAGCAAAGAAACGTAAATTTTATCCGACAGTGCAGTCTAGTAAAATTTTCCGTATCCGGAAACGAATAGAAAACGATTACAGTTATCATTCATTTTCGTATCCGGAAAACGTTCGAAAAATATGATATTATTTGAAAGCAATAATTGTATATTATTTGCTCAAGCTAATCATTTGAAAGCATGCATGCGTTCGGTAGTGGCTGAGCGTGCAGCTTCCTCAAGGTGCCGGGTTCGAATTCCGTCAGGCGCTTCCTAATTTTATTTTTTATTTTTTAACCATGAAAAAGAATCTGTGAAGTGCAGAAGGAAAGTGTATTGAACGAAAAATTCAATCAGATAAATTTCAGAAAAAACATCTGAAAAAGTATCGGTTTCACAAACAATTTTCGGTAATTGTCTGTACATACGATCCTGCCGCACACTTTAGTGGGGAAAACGGATCGTCAAAGCATCCGAAAATGGAATCGGTAAACGGACAAAAATCCGCACTTCATGATTTTTTTTTATTCCTTTTTCGGATCGGTTTTCGGATTTTTTGCTGGCTGGTTATGTAAGTACATATGTAGCTGCTCTATTCGCGACTATGTATACATATATGTGAGTGCATTTGCTTTTTTTTTTGGAAAAACGACTTCAATGGAGCTATATATTCCGCTTAAGCAATTTTTAATTAAATATAAAAGTAAGGAGAACTCGTCATTTGAAGACTCGAATGTTTCACCGATTAGCGCAGCGGGTCCTGGATCGGATTTAACATTATGCTCATTCTGTTCTCCGTGGATTTCACTTTTAATAAGCAAATTTGTAATTTCTTTACCATGTATTTTTCACTTTTTAAACGCGAAATTTCTGTCTATTTTTAGCGCAATGATTTTATTTTATTTCTTCTTTTAATAAGTATAATTATAATATATTTTAAAGAACGTAAACACGTCTCTTACAATTGAAAAAATTTTATACATATTGCTTCATGTCGTTAGCAATTGCATTTCATGTTCAACCTATCGCAGTTTAAACGTTTATGTGAAAATACTTGAAATAAAATTAATATTAAAAACGCTTATAGAAAACTTTCTTTATGTTATTTTTAAAAACATTTACTGAAATGATTGTTGGGTACAAACATACATTTACATACATATACATTAGTATGTGTGAGCGCTATCCGCTACTACCACATTTGTTCCACATTTTGCGTGCTTCTACTCCTCAAAGTATACAACTATTTTATTTAATGTCGATTGTCGTTTAATAAACTATATACGTATGTAACTTCGTAGGTTAACAAAAACATTTAATAACCCTGCAGGAAATGTATCTAACTATAAGTTAATACTAAGTATATACATTAGAGTGTTCCAAAATAAGGGAATCGGAATTTTAATGCCCTCACCCTTAAGATTGTTCTATATCGAAAAAATATACTCAAATTTTTTTTATTTTGAAATCAAAAAATATTTAGAGGTCGCTGAAAGCGCTCAAAGTTTTCCATGTAATTTATATGGGGAAAACCAACTTTTCGTAGAAATGGTATGGAATTCTTGAAAATCAATACGCTGCAGGAAATGGGACTAGCTTGTAGCTAACTGTTAACTAATTAGCAGTCGACTATTTTAACTATTTTCTTTGACCGTAACTAACTGCTTTTGAAGGGCGATGACCGCAAAATAGTGAGAACTGGTTTCCTCTGCATTAAATGTCAGCTAACTTGTAGCTAACTACTTTTGGACATAAATTATTTAAAAAAAAATATTTTTTCAATTTTTTATATTTTTATTTATTTACTTATTTTTTTTTATTTAATATTACATATTTGCTTATTTGTTTACTTGTTCTTTTGTAGGCGGTCTCATAGAAGAGAATAGAAATAATCAGTTGGGTATTATTATTGGAAGTCTCCTGAAGATGAAAAGATAAACAGAGTTTTCCGATCAATAACTATTGATTTTTAAGAATTTAAACCGTTTCTACGTTAAAGTATTTTTTCCCCGTGGAAAATTACATGGGCTTTGAGGCAGTTCTAAATATAATTTTTTTAAACAAAAAATACGGGTATGTATTATTTTTCTTCCATTTATAAAAGTTCTAGGGGTGAGAGCTTAAAATCTTAAACGGTTTTTTGGACCACCCTTATCTGTGCGCACACCATCTATGTATTTGTCGATTTCAAAGTCGCTTTCGACAGCACGAACGTAAGTTGCCATTGTGCCGCGTTGACCGAATTTGGTATTCCCACGAAACAGTTCGGTTGTGTAGAATGACGTTGAGCAATACCACCAGTTTCGTCAGAATTTGGAAGGACCTCTCTGAGCCGTTTGATACTAAGAATTCTTTTTGTGTGATTTCTTTAACCTGATAATGGAAAATATAATCAGAGCCGCAGAATTGAACGTAAGACGACGACATCGACGTCATCGGTAAAAACAAAGGCTACGTCTATTCCGCATTCTCGGAATTACGTCGAGAAGCAATAACACCAACAGTAAAATCATCCTCAAAACAAGGTATGAGATTCCCTCCCGATGAACGAAAATCATAGTTTTTTAGTCACTCATCATGTTCGTCCTAATATATGGCGCAGAAGCGTGGACGATGGCAACATCTGACAATGTGCTCCTTAGAGTATTCGCAGACGATAGAAGGATGAGCTGCATGAGCTTTAAAATGATATGGACAAAATACATCTTCTCCGATGGCTTGACCCGTCATACGAATGGATAGAAATGTTCCAGCTCTGGAAGGGGAAGGCCTTCTCTGCGATGAAAAGACCAAGTGGAGAAGGACTTCGGGTCACGTGAATTTCCACTTGGCATCAGTCAG